TTATTTAAAAGTTTTAGATTTAATGAATTTATGATACTATTTTTAACTTGATATCTTTTTTAATCAGCTTGTTATAATTTTTTAAAAAGTGTCCACACTTATATGGTAGGCCACTGTAGTTCATATTCTTTTGTATAATGCTATACTTACACAAATGCTTTATAACCTATTAGTTATACTAATATAATTACTATTACAGATATTTTAATTTAATCATTAGAAAAAGTTGTTATAATATAAGTATTATATAGGTAATTATTTAAATTTTTACTGTTAATAAAATTTGAATATCCAACCTACCATTTGGAAGGTTAATAGCTTATTTATTTTATTAAGTTACTACATCTTTTTGTAGTTATTATATAAACAGTTATTAGTCAAAACATATTATCAATAAAATCCTAAGTTGCATATATTTATTTTAATATTAAAGAAAAAAAAAATATTGATTTAAAATTTTTTTTAATATTAAGATAAGTACTTATAATCCAAGTTTTTATTAATAATATATTTTAGTTTTGTAATTGTATTACAACGGATACAAAAAACAATTATAATAAAAGTATATAATTTGTATAACTTTAGTTATTGTCTAGTCTGCCTAAAGGTTTTATACTAGTTATTATATCTAGAAACTATATGTAATTTTTTTATTAAATATTTTGATTCCTATATTCATTTATCTATTTATTCTATCAACTACTCTAGTTTTTATCAATACAAATATACTATAATCACTAAGTCTTTAAAATAATTTACTTATATAAGAAATCTTTAATCTTGTACTAAACCTATCAAAGTTTTCTGTTATTTAATTTTTAATTAACCTGATATTAATATAGCTAAAACTAATACTTGTAATTAGAATAATTCTTAAATTACTATACTTTTGTAAAGTTTATAAAATTTTAATATCTTTTTTTACAATTTATTAGTTTTTGTACACCTTTATAAGTTCTTTTATATTACCAATTTAGTTAACTTTGATGTGACTTCATGTTTGATTCAATTGATAGTCAGGTTAGTAAATTCTTTTATTTAGAATTCTTGTCTATATAGATTATCTGCTTTAGGTTTTCTTCTCTAAATCAAGATTTTTATAAATAGTACTATCAAAGATCATATTATCTTTCTATTTAGAATTTTTAAGCAGAACTTCTTATAAAGTATATATATTTAAATTTGTTTATATGACATTGCATACTTTCAAAATTAGTCTTGATATAATTAGAATTACAGAATTACAACCTCAGATATTCCAATTAAGTTGCCAGAATAGAATCATTTTCAAAATTCTACTGCTAATGAAATTTAAACTCTAAATTTACTAACTAAAAAATGACAACTCAACTACTATACTAGGATCATTATTTTTTGATTTGAAATATCTTTTGTTTATTGTTAATGATAGTAAACTTATTTTTTTTGATAATAGAATTATATATGAATTTGAACAAGTTTATTTAACTGTTTTGTTAATTATTTAGTTATGATTAGTTTGAAATAATTTATCTTAAGACGTAATTATTAGTTAAAATCAAACTATTAATATACAAATGATTTTTTCTAAGCAGTTTTTTTAGTTATGTTCAATGTTGCTATATATGATTCATATACATACAAGTTGTATTTAAAGTAACTACCTATCTGAAATACTACTACATTATCCATAATAACCCAAGCACATCACAAAAAGTTCTTAAGGCAGTTAGAAACTTTTTATTTATAAATAAAGAAAGTATCTGATTTTATATATTAAACACATGTTTTTCAAGTTTGATATATAAACACAAGAAGCTTTTGTTGAAGATTTATAAACTCTCAGTTATTACAATGTTTAACGTATTTATTCTAGCTGATATTTCTAATCAGCAAAAAGTTTCATTACCTTTTACACCTATTTAATAAGCACTTGCAAAATCATATGATAATTAACTAACATATTATACCATAAAATCATCATATATGCACTCGAAGTGTAGATTCAAAATGTGCTATTATGCGTCAAATTGAAATGCGTATAATGAAAAATAATAATCAAAATAATAAAATGATAAAATGGAAATTAGCATATATTGTACTGAACTATCAAAAGTCTAAAGAAGACATAAGAAAATGAGGGAAAAATACACTACCGTAGAGCACTGACCAAAAGAATCGAGGTCTAATACGAAATACCCACAAAAAAATTTACAAAGGACCCGTTTATATTATGGTGAGTCTATGACGCAAGAAAATTTTCAAGAATATACATATCCTGCATTTACAATAAGCAGTTAAAAGTCCATATTTAATTAATAGAGGTCTCGGGGTATTTTGCACAGGTGGTAATCAAAAAAGAGTTTTTTTGGCCAGTATTCTACGTTAATTGACAAAAACATCATAAAATTAGATTCTTTTTGTTCATGAATACGTACATCCGCTTTTCGTATTGACTAAATACCTGAAACTAGATCATATTATAAGGTAAATTGTCAAAAGAAACTCTAAAGCAGAATTATATATAGTACATTTACGTGAATAATGTATAAGCAGTGTAATATAATATCAAGTTTTGCTTCTTTATACGTTACAGCTAGTTTGATGTTACTTGCACCTTTAATGTGGTTCGGATTTTAATTCATCAGGAATGGAGACATATTTATTGGTTCCCTTTAGACATCTGAATGTATTTAATCTGAAATTTATAATTTTTGTTAGATTCCAATCCCTTTAAATATTATTCTATACCAGATTTATTTTTTGCATCCTGAGCTTTGAGTATGTTCAAAATGAGCTAGGTATTGTAAATTGAGACGTTTTAATTCTACTTTATGAGTCTCAACATAATCTTTTTAGAATCATAAGTCTGGTTCTCTCAAATCTCTCGATTTCCTTATCCATAACTTTGACACTTTCATATTTAAGTAAATCTAGTTCGAATGATATATTCCATGTTATATACATAGTAAAACTTTCAATCATATATGGACATCGATGTCCGTATAATATAACACTTTCAAAAAATTACATCTCGAAATATATATATGCAAAAGTGGACTGAATATGTGCAAATTTTGAACACCAAGCAAGTTTTATATTATATAAAAGATATACAATTATACTTATACACTTTTAAATCCTGCATTACTTTCCCTTTTAGTTTCCCAATCCTTAATTTATGTTGAATCCTAATTCAGCTAATAAAGCTTTGACTTTTTCACAATATTCTGCCAAAATTTGTCTGGGAGAATTCACTTGTGATAAAGGTTGTTGAGACAGCAAGCAACCTTCTGATTCATGACTAACATTTGACATTTCAAAATCATTCATATTATTTTTACAACAATTTTCTATTGTGCTTTCCGACTTTTCACAGAGACTACATATCGAATCAGTTGATGAAGTTTCTTTAAAATAATTTTTTGTGAAAAATTTTTCGACGGTTAAATTTGCAAGATCACTTTCTAAAGATTTTAATCTATCAATAGTAGATTGAGTTGGAAGTATAATGTTACTTTCATCAACATTAGTATTACTAAGTAGAGGTGTGTAATATTCTAGTAATGTACTTTAGAAAATGAGTAAATAAAAGGATTAAAACGTTGATCAACCAAGAATTATGAGAAGCTACTTACTTTAATAAACCTCTTAACCTACCAATTTCTTTTCCAACACTAGCTCCTTCAGCGTACCCTTTATTGAACCCTTCTTGAATGGTAATATCTTTACCTTCTATAATTCCTTCTTTGTACCCTATCTACAGATAAAGTTTGGCTCGTGAAATGAGCATAGAGAAATGGAAAATTGGTTAGAAAAACCTCTGCATGAAAGTAAGTGTCAGACGGTGGTTTTCCTAGTCATTCTCCAAATGCATGGACATGGTAAAGAACTTACATTCCCAAAGTCTTCATTCATACGTTCCCAGTCTTTTGACGAGATTAATTTATCATATTTTGATATTTCTTCATCTGAAATCCAGACATCGTTTATTTGATCAACCATCGCTAATGTTGAATAAGAAAATCGGTGTTCATGATTACTTATAGTCATAAAAACTCTTACACGTGACATTTTAACTAGGCATTCATATCTAGTGAGCGTATCATATCAGCTACGTGCCATGAAAGATCGTCGTATATGCACCAATCAGATCTTTTCGAATAATCAAAACAACTTTAATATGCGTAATATTTTAAAGTACTAAAAATGTTATGGTTGGGATTACAATGTGCATGCTTTATACCAAAATTTCACGAAGAATTTTTTTATTAGAGCGCAGAAAGTGGTTTCATAGTCAAAATTTTAGTTCTCTGTTTTTTTAAAAAAGCGTGATTTTCACGTTACACCTTATCTAGTGATCTTATTGGCGACGATCATTCAAAAAAAATCCATTTGGTGCATATACTACGATCTTTCCTGGGGTAGCTATCGGTAGAGATGTTAAATTGCGGATCCAGTTCGGTCCGATCCTAGGATCTAAAGACAGTCCTGAATTGAGTCTATCGAATAAGTCCATAAGATCCAAGTCCTATAAAATGTATTGTGTTTTCATGTGATTTAAGGACCGAGTCAAGGACCGGTTAGGATTCGGTCCCAAAAGACCGATTAGCATCCCTACATATCGGTCAATTTACTTAGTGCAGATGATATAGTGATATAAGTAGTGTTCCGCAGACTCGGACCGAAACCCGGAATCGACTCGGCGGTTCGAGTTCGGGTTTACAATTTTTCAGAACCGACCGATTCGGGTTTGTAATAACGGGTACCCGGTAGGACCCGCATAGACTCGCATGTTTAATCACCTGCCTTCAACGAACAATACGATGACAAACAATACGATAATAAACAATACATAGAAAAAATTTTTCTAAGACATTACTTCTAGTCTAGAACTTACTTTTACACTACACAATTCAAAAAAAAAAAAAAACAGCTCTAATTTTTCAAACCAGTTCTTGTTAAAACTAAGGCAAGAATTTATTGAAAAATCATTGAATTGTATCTCTCTTTTTTTTTGCTATTATGGAAGACTTTGAAGAGAACAATTATGGTATAAGCTATTCTTCTATAGACAGTAATGAAATAGATGATTTATTTGTGGATTCTTCTTGTATCAATGATAATACTATGGAAGTAAATAAAACTGGTGAACCATTACAATCATGTACTAGGTCTTTTATATAGAAGTATTTTGTAAAGGAAAAAAAAACCTCTTATGCAAGATGTACTCTTTGTATCTCTAAAAAAACATTAATAAAATGTATTGACAGATCAACATCAAGCCTTGGAAAACATCTCACTAAACATGTAGGAAAGATATCTGAACTAGATAAAGAAAAGAAAAAACTGAATGTTTCTGTTATAGACATGCTTCAAAATCAGCAAATTGTTAATAATCATCCTAGTGAACCTTTTGATTTAAACATTTTTAAAGATCTTATCAAATGTTGAATTGTTAAACACAATTGACCATTCAACATTGTTGAAGATAATGAACTCAAGGAAATATTTGCATATTTAGAACCTCAGGCAAATGCGTCCTCTGCAGATTCTATAAAAAGATATGTTATGAATGACTTTGAAGAAGAATGCCACAAGCTTATGATGAAGTTACAAAAAATTTCTGGGAAATTTTCAGTTATGACTGATATATGGATAACAAATACCAATGAAAAATCCTTTATGGCAGTTATCCTTCATTATTTAGATACTTCTTGGAAGCTAAAAAGCATTCTCTTAGATTTTATAAATATGGACGGTCTACATTCAGGTAGTAATTATAAAAAGAATCAAATGTAATATAATCAAATGTATACTGTATAATCAAATGTAATATAATTAATAGTGATTAATTGTATTTATATAATAAATTTAATCAGTAAATTATTTAATAATTAATTATTAATTAAGATTTTTTTATTGACTTTTACAATTTCTATTAGGTCTTGAAATCGTAAATAATATGGAAGAGTGCCTTCAGTCAATGGGAATTATGTCAAAGCTTATGATTATTACGCATGATAATGCTGCCTCTAATATTAAATTCATACAAGATCTTTCTAATTCTCTAGAGCAGTTGGGTTTTCATTTTGATTATAGACAACAATCTATAAGATGTTTTGCACATATTTTAAACCTCGTCGTTCATAGTTTATTAAGTGTTGCAAGAAATGAACTAAATAAATTACGAGAATTAATTAGAAGCATTTGGGAATCACATTTGTGTCATAAAAAATTAAAGACTACTTGCTTCATATATAATATAAAAGTAATAAAGCCAATTTTTGATGTTGTTACCTGCTGAAATTCTACACTTGAGATGTGTAAACGAGCTATTACATTAAAGGTTATATTAGAAACTATAGCTCTTAGTAAAGTGAATTTACGTTAATATGTTTTCGAGAATGATGAATGAGCAAAAATTAAGCTTCTTGTTGAGGTCTTATGACTATTTAAAGATGCAACAACATTTATGTTAGCATCAGAATATCTAACCTTAACGATGACTGTTCCTTTTTATTATACATTAATTGGAATACTTGAAAATACTAAAAGAAAAGTTAATACACCATGTTGGCTTATTCAAGGATATGAAGATGCAAAAAAAAAGCTTACAAGTTATTGTAGTAAAATGAATATATTACATTTTGCATCAGTAGTATTAGACCCGTGACTTAAGTTTAAATATTTTGAATCACTGGATTTACCATTACAACTCATTACTGATATCAAAAATGTCATTAAAAATAAGTATGAAAATGAGTATGCATCTTTTTCTGATCAAAGTACATTGCATAGAACTACAACATGTTCTACAATAATGTTGCAGATATATTAGTCAGTACGTATAAATCATCAGAATGAATTAGATACCTACTTAATGATGCCATGTGTAGATTCAAATATTGATGTATTAGAATAGTGGCAGTCAAATAAGATAAATTATTCTGCTCTTTCAAAATTCGCAAGAGACTGTCTTCCAATCTCAGGAACAAGCATTCCTAGTGAACAGGCATTTAGTATTGGTGGTAATATGATCACTAATAAACGAAACCAATTGAATAAAAAAACGGTGTGATCGGCTATATGTCTTAGATCATGGTAGAAAGAATCTCAAGAATAATTGAATTAGTGTGTTTTTTTTTTTTTTTTTCTATCAGGATTTTTTTTCTTTTTTTTGATTCTCATACAGTATTTGAGTTTCGATTTACTAGGTTAAAAAAAACTACGAATTATTATGTAATTAAAAAGAATGTGCTTCAATTAGTTCAATTTTTTCTTTTTTTTTCTTGCTGTTATAATAAGATTTCACAGCTTAGAAATTTCTATTTGCAAATATTAGCATATCAATTCAATAAAAATTAGAACAAATAATTTGAAAATTTGTTAAATAATGTAGTGTTGAGATATTATTAGTATTTTGCTATATTAGTCTATTTATCATTTTGGCTATCAGTACTTTTTAAGATCGAATGTAATTATGACACAAATAAAGTTATTATAGCAAAAGTATAAGTTTTATTCATATAGAAAATTAATTAATAAATTCTCTTATACACATCTTTGAACCATGTAGTAATTTAAGTACAACAATTGTAGTAGCTCCCTGATCATTCCATTCTGCATAAAATACAGTTGCAAAACTACTTTTTTCTACCTCTTTAATATTCTTAAATTCATTGTAAAGAATCCATTTTAATTGGTATTTATTTTTATTTAAAAATTATTAAAGTTTATTATATTTATTTATTTATAAGAAAAAAACTGAGTTACTAGTTCGATTCTGGGTTTAAATGACATGATTCTGGGTTTTAATATAAACTCGAATCGATTTTCCAATTTGAGTCTGGGTTTTCATAAAAACCCAGACCGAACTGGACCATGTGGAACACTAGATATAAGGATAATAAAATTTTGTGATTGGTAGAAGTACAGAAAAAAATGATAAAACAATTATGCTTCATGCTATAGTAATGTTATATCAAGAAAATACTAAACTCAAAAATACTTAACTTCAAAATACTAGACTTCAAAATACTAGACTTTAAAAAATATTAGACTCCAAAATACTAAACTTTAAAATACTAGACTTCAAAATACTAGACTCCAAAATATTATATAGACTTCAAAATACTAGACTTCAAAATACTAGACTTCAAAATACTAGAATCCAAAATACTAGACTTCAAAATACTAAACTTCAAAATACTAGATTTCAAAATATTAGATTTCAAAATATTAGACTTCAAAATACTAGATTCCAAATACTAGATTTTAAAATGCTAAACTTGAAAATATTAGATACTGTATATTTTTATAATTCTATAATTTAAAATTTTTTATTATATTAAAAGTTTCTATAACAAAGTAAGCTGTATTTGAACAGACTAGTTCTTTATATTTTTTAACTTATGTGTATATTTTTAGAATTTTACAATATTTTATAACTTCATATTTATTTAACATAAATGCAAACAGATTTATTTATAGATTTAATTACAGTAAATGCTTATTATAATTAATTTTTTTTAAATATAACAAACTATAAATTTATATTATAAAGTTTAAAATATATAGAATTTATATTAATATTATTTATACAATTTAATAAAATTAGAGATGTAGTAATCTAATAAAGTAAACAGATTGTTAATTCTTAAGTAACAGATCTAAGGTTCAAATCCTATTGATGATGAATTATTATTATTATTTTTTATAGTTAAAGTCTCTGTCTTGAGGATATGACATTTTTATTCAAATATATAGGACATAGCATGCCTTCAGAGGCTATCTGTATATTGAAGGTTACAACTAGCTATGTATGCATTTTTGGTACTTAATTTAAGTAGTTCACTTACACATTGCTATATAAGTTCTATACTAGTTACTATACCTGCAAGTCAACTAGGGGTCTTGTCTATTTAAACATTCTGCATATACAATTCTTTTTGTATTATAAAAACATCTCAAGGCAACATCTATTTAAGTTTCCAATGCTGGTCATTACTCTTAGGACTACTTTATCCTTAACAGGAAACTTACTAGAGCCTTTATGTTTTACATATACAGACCTAGTTTTATGTAATATGCTATAGTTATTTAACATTTGTAGTCACAAAGATTACTTGTTTAACCACTATACTATACTATTTCTATTCTTGTAAAGTTTACTTGAACTCTAGTACTTATCTTTCTGACATCTTTTCCATCATCTCCTACTAGTTACAACTTAAAACCAGTAGTCTCTTTCAGACTACCAATCCAGATGGCCTGATATAGTATACTTTTATATCTTTTTCTTTTAGTAAATTAGTAGTCTAATTGATTATATACTCCTCTATACATATTTGATATTTGGTTTAACCTTTGGTTTCTATAAAAGTGTTTTATAGGCTTTAACTAGTCTGATAATACCATCAAAAATTCATGCTACCTCTTTACTTAAGAAGTTTCAAGTAGGTTTTTATTATTTCGATTCCTTAGTCTTCTACACTTAGTGGTCTTATCATGGGTTTGCACTAAAGTCTTATGCAAAATTGGTTATATATTCCTCTATATACATGTAATGTTGAGGTATCACATAGACTAATTAATCAAAACTATATCTGATAACCATGTAATTTATCATATTGCAGATTTTTTATATTATATAAATGTAAATTAATTTATATTCAATATATGTACTTCAATTTATTATTGATTTATTATTATATAATAATAAAAAAATTTATAAGCAATTTATTGATTTATTGTTATAATAATAAAAGATTATTTACAACCAAATAAATCTTCGAATAATTTATTAGCTCTTTCTTCGCAATTACTATCACTATCATTAAGATTTTTCTTGATTAAAATTGAATCATTTGTATGTTTTGTTTGCTGTAAACGTTTCTTCATTCTAAGTTCTGCTAAATCTGAAGAATTACAACTAATTTCAGTAAGTAGTAAACTTGCAAGCCGTAATTTTGATTGTTGAAGATTGCTTGTTATATTTGAATAGGTTTTAAGATCTCGTTTATTAAACAAGCCTTCAACTTGTTGTTGGTGCACCAAGATGTATCAGATTCGATTTTTTACAAATTCATACATTTTTGGAAAATAGTGTAAGAGTTTTTTTTCTTTAATAAATTGATAAAATTCACAACTGAATTCAGGATTAAGTAATGCAGCTGTTAGTCCGAAATCATTAAATTTAGCAGATTCAATATCTAACTTGATAAATTCTGCATAACACAATTCTCGCAATGATGGTACTGAAGGCCAAAGTATTTCTAAAATAATATAGGCAAAGCTTCATGCAAATTCCTATCCATACTTTTCATCTAAACAACAGATACTAAGTGGTAAATGTAACCAACAATCTAATCATTTTTGGTAAAGCTCTAATGCTTTTTGCATACCACATTCTAAATCTGAAGTAAGCTTGGCAAGTTGATTATCATTTAACACATCAAGGCTTTCAAGTAATCCTTCTCTAAAAAAAAAGTAGGGATCTTTAACAATATTTTGAAGCCTTATAATATTACAAGTTACAAAGTTAGGCATTTGGTGTGCCTGTCGCCCAGAAGGAAAATTTGTTAGTAAAGTATTTTTACTTTGTAGTTGCAATTCAAAATCATATCCCATTAAAAATTTAACCATAGGATAATACAAATCTTTTCCAAAGCAAACAAGTAATTTGATTTGAATATTTAAGATTGGATTATTAAGCTAGCTTTGAAACAATTCCTATTTTTTTATATATGATTTTGGTATATTGTTTCTAGTTTTAAGACAAGCTAAAAACTATTCAGTAAATTTAATATGAATGTCTCTTCACTCTAAGTATTGTTCAGCACACTTTAATTCATAAAGCCATCTCAATCGAATAGGTTGCTGGTATTTTGTTAATTGATAATTAAAACATTCCTTGTAAAGTTTATAAATATAATCAGATCGTATTCCCATTGGCTTGTCTTTATCGCTTTTATTGTAACCATCATGAAGATCCCAAGCAAAATATAGAAGATTTGCAGGAAGCTCTTTTTGTAAAAAATCTGAGATACTAGATAGTTTACCAAAAGCAGCCTCCTTAAAATTGTTCATTATAATATGCACTATATGAATCCTACATGGAACTCGAAACAAGTTTACATTACTCAACTGGTTAAACAATGAAATTGCATCTCCAACTTTGCTGCTTATATAGTTGGTGTTATCTGAAACACATACAGAGCGTTGTTGAAAGTTTAATTTAAAATGATTAAATATATCAAATAGTTTGAGCAACTGCTTTGCCTTTACAAGCAGTTAAATCTTTCATCTCTAAGACTTAAAAGTCTGGCTTGTTGTTTTTAGAATTCCAGAATATAACACATATTACAAAGATTTTATGCTGATCTTGGGTTGATTCATCTGCCATTATGCCAAAAGTAAAATATTCTGAACAAATATTTGAATTTAAAATATTGTTTATATGAATATTGCTAATTTTTTTATTTTATCTAATGATAGATTGTGCTAAAATTGTTAATAGTAGATCTTCTTCAGTTAAAAAGCCTAAAATTGAATATGTAACTTGTGCAGTATTTTGAAATGACATTTGATTTATTTGTGATATTTGTGTAGCTAAGGTCATAAAGTAGGTTGTATATTCATATTTATTTTTCATAAGAGTCACTTTAATGTTTGCTTTTAAACTTCAAGAATTTACAGATAGTGGTCTTCGAGCTGCAGCACATACTTTTGATATATGATGACATTGCTTGCATCTATAATGTGATAATGTTCCTATTAACTGTTTAACTTGTAACTTTATTTTTTATTCAAATGTTCTAATTAAGTTACTTTTTTTTAAAGTATCTTATTTTTTTGATTTAATGAGTCTGAATTCTGATCTACTTTATAAAGAGATGAATTTATAAAGCTTAGATCTTTATTTTGTAAGAATGGTAAAAGCAAATCACACTCATTAAGTCCTTTAGGATATCACATTATATCTAATAAGTGAATTGCGGATTTTAATTAATCATTGGGCAGTTGTTTAACTCTATCAATTAACTTTTGCTGAAGTGTTTTTTGATTTATTTTTTTATTATTAGTTGGTTAAATGATGCTTTAATAAACTAATTGTAGTTTATTATCATCCATTTCAATTAATGCTTCACTATTATCTTGAATTCTTTTTTCATACTAAGCAGCTTTTTATGCATTTACTGCAGCTTGACTTGCTTTACAAGCTTTTATTTTTTGTTTGGATACTGGTGGCATTTGTTTATTATGATTGTTTTTAAATAATGAATGTTTTCTGAGATTATCTAAATGATTGTACAAGTTTTTTATTATGCATTTACCTCTAACCTTCACAATATTAATAATGACTTTTCTCCTTACTACCAGATACTACAGCACTATTTATTAATTATAACTATTTTTATTTAAGAAATATTAGAAGCTAAAAGTTTAATCTTACAGATCAAATCTTTTATATTTATTTAATTTCATATACGATTACATCATTAATCTGTCACAATAAACTTTTAAATTATACTATTACTATTGTTCTATATTAAACTTTATATTATGCATTATACTATTGTTTTATTATGTAGATATTACATATTATTATTTATGATTTACTTTTATATATCTAAAATTTATCAAATTTTATTAATTCATATGAAAATCGATATTTTAGATATTTTAAAATGTATTAACTTATTATATAAGTATGCAATCATCTTGAAATTTTTATCAGTTATTTATATAAAGTTAAAGAATAAAGTGTTGGTTTTATTTTTTTTATTAATATGTAGGTTTTAAATATTCACTTTATAGAGTACTTAAAAATTCATTAATTAGGATGAAAAAAGTTACATTAAAACAAATAAATCGAAACTTAATTATAACTTTAACAAAAAATCAATCATAGCTGCTTTGAAATAGTTCTGATGAACAGTTTTTAATTAAAAAAAATTAGATAAATAAGTACAATATTTATGTGATACTTTTAGAATTTTGCGCTTTTCTTTATAATTAAGTAAAATAAAATTACATTCAATCATTTATTTTAATTTACTGATAAAAATTTGATTATAATGAAATAATCAATATAGCTAATATAGTTTTGATTAATTAGTCTGTATGACACCTCAATATAATGTTACACTTTATATAAATGTTTTAAGCTCCCAATTTTAGTAGAACCTGATTTGGTATATCTAAGTTACAGTTATATAAGACCAATTGATCAACAAAAGACAGTTATCATATTGCAAATATAATTTCCAAATTTTATTATAGGTAGGATTAGATCCTTAGATCTGCTACTTGGAAGCTAACAACCCAACTACTATACTAGAATTATCATCTTTTTGATGATAAATTATATTTGTGTTATAGTAACTATCTCTTATTAATTAGTTGTAACATTATACATATATAAAGAAATGTAAAAAAAACTAGTATTGAATAAGACTTTAGTATAAACTTATAATAAAATTACTAAATATAAAAGACTAAAACACTAAAAAATTAAAAGCCTACTTAAAAATCTTAAATAAAGAAGTAATACAAACTTTTAATAATATTTTTAAACTAATAAAAACTTATAAAATATTTTCAAAAAAATAGATAAATAAACCAGATAGCAAAATATATATAGAAACATATAACTAACTAAATTATTAAAATTATATATATAAATATATTATATCAATTATCATCATTAATTTACATACTCTTTCTACTGATCTTTAATTCCAAAACAAGAAAAAACAAATTACAAAAATAATAAAAAAACAGACTAGCAAACACTCTTTAGATAACTAATAAAAAAGTTATATCAGAAGAAAATATATATAATATAATAGAGGTTAGAAGACAAAGGAAGCTGCATAAAATATTAATGAAAAATAGCAATATTTTTAACAAAAAAAATAAAAATTTTTGGAGAATTGACATTATCCTAAAAAAATAGAAAACAAAATATGTAATAACTATAGCAACAACAAATAACATCAAACAAATAAGTCTTATATCTAATTAGGAAATAGCAAGCATTATTATAAAACTAGTAACATAATACTAACAATATACTAACAAATATTACAAAGTTTAATTCTAGATACTAATTAGCCTAAAAAGAAAAATCTCGATCCAATAATTAAAATATAAACCAATAAATGAAAATTGCAATATAAATATTATTTCTTATATTAGAAGAATAAGTGATAGAAATTAATTACATATAGACTATAAAATTTTGAATCAAGTTTTCAAAACTCCTACACAGAACCCAAGTAATATAAAGCATATTGCTAAAAAATTAGCAATATATGACTCAAAACATATTACAAATACAACTCTCCCTGATGATCACTTGTACTGAATTTTACACCAACAAAAATAAAAAACTTATTAGAGAAAGTAGAAAAGACTACTATATAAATAACAGTTTTTATAAAAATTAAAATGATTCTTCTATGCTGAACTCCTTTATATATTTAGCAAGCAAACTAAAAGTATACATATACAAGATAACTGGCAGGAAGCACTCTTGTATAACAAATTTTAGTAGAAGTCTTAGCTTCTGTTAATGAAGTTAAAATAGTAGGTCTTATAGAAGAACAATAAGCAAGTTTCAATATATTCACTAGAAATTCAAGAATACCTGCTAACTGAACACCACTACTATATTCTTTGCTTGGTTTTTGATAAAAGTTTTTACAAAAAGTAGGAATATAGTGTACCTCCTATGAAAGATCTACAGAAATCATCCATTTTGGAAATAGGAGAATTATCCCTTTTCTGAAATTAGGAGTAATTCTAATTAGAGTGAAAAGGTCAGCTGTAGAACTGATAAGGAAGAAATTAAACACTGACATCTCTATCATTGAATAATATTTATATATAGTATAGACCTATTTTCAGAATAGAGACTAGAAGTAGCAGTACTATATAATTTTTACAATTTGCTTTGGCTAGGACTTCAGCCCTCTTTTTGTTTTTTCTTTTTTCTACTATTACATGTTTGTTTTGCTGTTTTGTTTTAATTTGAGTTTTGTTTATTTACTTTTGGTTTTTTTAGTCATGTTCTTATTTGTATTTAATTTTATAATACCTCTCTTTTTTTAGCCCTTTGAGAAGAAGGAAGAATTTAAAGAAAGAATTGAAGACAGTTAATGCTTGTCCTGAAAAAGAAAAATCCTTTCTGGTATGGCTTTAAGTAGCCAGATAAGCAGTCTACTTCTGATTGGGATAGTGCAGCAGGTCGCACTTAGGTACCAATAGGATGGCCAAGTAATGCTAGACTTAGTTATTGGGAAAATTCTATGTAATTATTGTATATAGTTTCAAGAATCTTAATAAAATACTAGCATGGCTGCTTAAGAGCAAAAAAAAATATATATATATATATTACACTTCATTATATGTTAGTATATGATCAAATACTAGAAATATTAAGAGTAGCAAAAACAGACTGGCTCAAAGAAAAAATAATCGATAAGTGGGCAAAAAGTTTAAGTTAATAAGCTTCAATTCAGACTCTTTCAAATACAATACAAATATAAACAAAAAACTAACACATCAAGAAAAAAGAAGAACAAATAATAAATAAGGGCTAGAAATATTAGAAGAACAAATAAAAGGTCTTAGCATCATTATATTACATCATCAAACAAGTCAAATGGCCAATAAATCTGAAATGCTAAAAAGTAATATAATGTAAGAAATAGAGAAAAACAGTAAAGACACAAACATGAAATTAGAAGAACAAAAAGAAGAACCAACTGATAAAGAAACCTGCATCTTGTTTTATGCAAGTACAATTGAACATAGTTGATAGTCTCCAAAAAACAGAATATATAACAAGAACAAATCCTTTAAGGCAAATATGCTAACTTATGCTTTACTAGGTGAATCCAAAGAAGAAAAAATAAAATATGTCCAGTAGATCCTAGAAAATAACCATCATATTAAAACAATTAAATAAGTATTCAAAAATAAAAACAATTAAATAAAAGTAGATTTTAATTGTGAACATAGCAGAGATGTGGCAATGAACAGAATTAGGAAAAAAGATAATGAATGGCTTAAACTTATTCTAGAAAAAAATAAGAATAAAAGTCAAGAAACAAAGCAGCAAGAAAAACATATTACTAAAAAAAGAGAAGAAAAAGATATAAAACAAATAAAAAAAAATGAAGAACCAAGAAGAATAAGAGAAATAAAGAAATAAGAAAAAGAAGAAAAAAAAAAATGCTATAAAGAAAAGCATTGTAATAGGAAATAATGAAGACAAAGAAAAGGAATTGCAAAAGAAAAAATAATTAACTATATAGAATCTACTATCAGATATTAATAAAAAAGAAATTAAATATATGTGCAAAAAACTCAAAAACTTAAATATTATACAAGTTAAAAGATTACTATACAAAACATTAGCAGTAATAGTAGCAAGCTTAGAGAAAGCAGAAAATATTCTATAGGCACTGCTACTTGGCAACAATAAACTAGTATATATAATAATTGAAAATGAAGATTATGGCCAAAGAGACAAGCAAGAACAGTACACAGCTAAATTGTTAAACATTCTAAAAGGAGCCTCAGAAGTGCTTCTGTTACAATGCCTAAAAAACAAAAATGCAAAAGCAGTATACATCCTATACAATAGAAATGGAAATCAAAAGAAGTTTGCAATAATCACTTTTGCAAATGCTCTAGCAGCAGAAAAAGCTTAAACAACATCAATATAGTACAATAACTACCAAGTAAGTTGAAAAAATTCTAGAAAAAAAAAAGAACAAGAAAAAGATGAATCAAGAAAAAAAAAACAAAAAAGATCAAAAATAGATAGCAAATGACAAGAGGTATCAAGAATCAGAAACATAATATAAGAAAAGCCAAGTAAAAGATATGATAAGATAGGTTTAGACTCCCAAATACAAAATATAAAAGAATGATTAGAAAACAGAAATGCTGACATAGAAATAAAAGAAGATGACCTAAAGAAAAAAAAAACCAAAACAGTTTTGCAAGATCAAGCAAGAACAGTATAAGTAAAAGATGTCTTGTATCAAATTTTGAATAGACTAAACAAAATAGAAAAAATGCAGTTAGATACAAGAAGAGACCTAGCTAACTACTTCTAAAGGTGCTACAGTTAACTAATGAATATAGATAAGAAGATCAAAAAGTTCTTGTAAATTGAAAAGAAGGTGTTTAAAGAAGTAAAAACTTCTTGTCAAGAAGAAGAAATATGCAATAGAAGAAAAGAAGAACTTAAAAGTATGGAGACAAAACACAGATCACTAAAAAAAAGATGAAAAAAAGAAAAAAAGAAAATAAAACTAGTATGTCATAATGTGAATAGACTTAAGACCAAAGGTTGGAAATTAGAAAATCTGCTTAGATAGACAGAAAAAGAGGAAATAACAATATTAGGAATTATAAAAACAAATCTTAAAAGAAGAGAAAAAAGTTTCTAACATATGTGATATTACAGAGTTGTAGCCTTCTTGATACAATACAACCAAGTAATAAGATCACCTAGTACAGTGATTAATTATTGCAAATATATATAGAGTGAAGGTATAGTAGTTCACTTTACTACATAGCAGCAAGCAAACAGTTTGAGATAGTAACAGTATATAGATTAACTTTATTAAATAAACACACAGTAACAACCTTGCCTATAGAAATTATTCTAGAGGATAAATATCACTTTTACAAATTAGGAGTAATGTTGTTAGTCAAAATACTCTATTTAGTCAAATATTTAGACAATTAAGTGTCTAAATATATTTTGACATGACATTATTTTTTGTCAAAATGTCAAAAGTCTAAATTTGACTAAATGTCTAAATGCTTAATGAAATAAATATTATATGACTAAATGTCTAAATGCTTGACGAAATAAATATTATATGACTAAATATCTAAATGCTTGATGAAATAAATATTATATGACTAAATGTCTAAATGCTTGATGAAATGAATATTATATGACTAAATGTCTAAATACTTTGACAAATAAATATTATGGCTAAATGTCTAAATACTTGATAAAATAAATATTATATAACTAAATGTCTAAAAGCTTTACAAAAGATAATTTTATACGTATAATTAAATATCTAAATATAAATTTAATACAATAATAAAAAGCGATTCTTATATATGTGTACATATCATAACTAAGCATCTATTGTTGTAATTATTATAGTTATCATTATGCAATATGTCATAATATGATTATAAAGTTTATTTTAATATATATTTAAGAATAAAAGATTTTTATCTAAAAAATAATAAAATACAAAACTTATGAAAAGTAGTGCAATGAGATAATGTATCAGCAAAGGTATGAAGAAATGCCTTTAGTAGAATGAAGTTAAGAAGTTGAATAATTTGGTAAAATTTTATGCTAAAAAGTTGTTAAAAAATAAATGCACTTGAATTTTTGCTCTAACATGTCATTTAATCAAGATTCTGTGAATTCTTAATAAAATTTAGAATTTACCAGAGTGACTACCAAAAAGTATGAGTACATGATAAGATGCAACAGCCATATCTTAATAACCAGTAGTATATTGCCTTGTTACATAGCAAAACCTCACATCCTTATTTTCATAAACTACTAATCTTAAATGCATCAAAAAAGTAATATTAACTTGAATACGGCTTTAGCAATTCTCCAAAAGGAAATTTTTGCACCCTCTATTTCTATGAGAACAATATAAGCTTTAGACACTATTAATATTCTGGCCATTTACTGCACTAATGATAATTTTTTGGTGTTATTTTTGATTAATAAAAATTAAATAGTATTATAATATAGATCAAGAATGTCAATTATTAGATGGGTAGCAAATTACTATAATGTCTGAAGCTCTGGATATAATATGGTATGATCTGATATAATCTAATACAAATTTTGTTTTTGCTCTTATAAATATTAATTGTTGGAAGCAAGAGGCTAGAGACAAAAGTTAGTACGAGCAAATTATCAAGAAGATTGGATTAAAACATCATTTTTCCATTTTTTATGACCGTCTCTATTTATATTTATATGTCGATTTACTATATTTTTTTTTAAATTTTTTTATTGCCAGTCTGATGAATTGATAATCAAAGATCAAGTGAAGAGCATAACAAAAGTGTTCATTGATTAATGTTGATATTTGATATATTAGCTGAAAAAAAAACCTAAAATAGTAAACTGAATAATAAGGTTTATCTATTTATTTATTTATTTATTTATATATTAGATTAATTTGATAAATTAAAATATGTGAATAATGATGTCATGTAGCATAATGATCACAAATATTAAAGAACCAATTAGCTATTTTTATGCTAAAACTAGTTGAATCAAATTCTATGTATTCTAATTACTTGGTTATGAACTTGATCAATTATCTGTTAAGTATATAACGCTTTTCATACCAAATATATATTATTCTTTTGAGTGTATTACACAATCCTTCTATGATGGGATCTAAACTAGAATTGTACTATTGTATGTATACTCCCGACTATGATGCTTATTTATCTTTAATATGTTCTAACTATTTAATAATGCAAATACTATATATATATATATTATCTACAAATGCTTTTGATCAAATTTTGCACTAATTATTGCCTGATTGATAATTACAAATTGCAAATATGTACTGATTAGTATACAAGAATCATTATGAATATGAATATAGCATAAGATTGACATTAATATTTTAATCAATCAATAGGTGTGTACAAAAGTTATTTATTAATTTATGCATCTTTTTTTATCAATTCATTGAATTCTAAACAATTCTTATCTTTCACTACTAATAATCAATTTGTTCTTTGGTCACATTAATATAATCTGAAATAAGAT